CATGACTCTAGACACTGGAGGTACATCTGTGAATGAGACAAAACTTTCACACTTAAGGATTGTATTCTAAAAGGGATGGCAGAACATAAATCAACAGGAAAATATCCAGAGGTGGTAAACTATGATGGCACGTAGGCACGGTGAGATTTGAACCAGGGAGGAAAGGCCATTGGGCTGGAGCTGTTGAGAGTTACAGCCGAGGCCAGAAGCACAGTGCTGAAGCCTGAAGAGGGCAGAAAAAAAAATCCCAACCACTTGCTTCTGCCCTCTGACCTCCTTCTGATACCTCCCGTTAGATGAATAAAATGTGCGGCCAAAGAGCTTGAGTCTGGATGATGTAGTCCCTAGGGGACGGAGCACAGAGCAGGGCAGAGAAAGACAGAATATAATCAGGGGCATGAGGCTGGGAAATAATTATGTCTAATGAACATTTGTTAAACAACAAAGGATTCTTTTGGCATACAGAATTTTCTTTGCTACTCATATGCAGAATTGTAATGAAATAAATCATTTTTCAGTTTGGAACTCTGCAATAAATGGAAACATTTCATTAATATTGCAGAATAAAACTTGAGAGATTACCACCATTTAGCTTCCTTCCCCCTCTTTTTTTCAGGAATCCTCTTCTGTTAATGGGGATTAAGAACAGATGCGTGTATGTCCTCTTTTAGACTCTTCATGTGTTCTCTTCTCCCCAAATTGTCATGTATTGGGAACCTGCTAGTATGGCTAGAGTGGCAGGAATTAAGTCACAGATGTATAATTTTCACTCAACATTCTTTCAGAAGAGGTTAGATCAAGAAGAATTAAGACGATTCCAGAAACAGAAGAACAAGGAGACCCAGGGAGGGAGGGGTTTATTTGATGGCTGTTGGGAACTGGATTTGTGCAAACACTCAAGGCTGGCAGAATACATTTAATACACGCTCTTGACCTGTAAGGGCACTGAATTGAGAAAAGTCTGCAAGAGTTGTCTGGGCTTGTTCTTCAGAAGGAAAAAGGCAAGGTGTAATAGGGGAGCTGAGTACATGTCTTGTGACCCAGGAAAGGGAGAGGAGAGCATTGTTATGGTGTGATCAGAGCCAGAGCAGTGTGGCTGAGGGGAAGCAGTTTGACTGGGAAGCTCCTTGTTCCTTTGATAACCAGGTATGAAGATGACTAGCCATTCATTGTGCAGAGACAATGCTATATGAAAACTTTACTTTTCCTCCTGGACATGAAGACCTTTTTCATAGCTCCCTTTCATCTAAGTAGGCCGGATGGCTGTTCTGGCCAAAGAGATATAGATAGAATTCAGCACAGTGCTGAAGCCTGGAAAGGGCATAGATCTTGTCTATACCTGGCCTAGCAAAAAAAGATCCTGCTTAGTTTCCCACTGTAACTGAGAGTGGAGCCATCCCCAAGATTGTTGTGGGAGGCCGTACAAATCTGTAGGGAAGCTTGGAGTAATGTGGGAGTTTAAAGAAAACGCAAAGAAACTCTGAGGCATCTGGCTGGTATGCTCAAAATTTGGAATGTGGCACCATTTGTTTTGTGTTTGAGGCTAGTCTAGTCTATTTATATGATTACTGGGCTTGGAGAATTTTAAGAAAAACATTGCTGCCATTTAGAATTTCCTAGATTTGATGGCCTCAACTGAATGTTATTATTTAAGTACTAAATTAGATCAAAGGTTGAGCATCTTATATTGGTTACATTTTACTTGCTTATTTGGAGGGGTAAGGTAGAAGAGAAAGGCCGTAAGGGCTTGTCAACACAACAATGGGATTTTATTTCCTAAAACGTTTTGTTGCAAATGATGATGCACCTGTGACAAGCTGGCTGTGGTCAGGGTGGAAATGGGAAGACAAACCACACTTAACCTATGACTTCTAAATAGTCAGGGCTGAGCTAGACCAGAGTTGGGCTTTTCTCTGAGTTACAAAGCAAGTCTCTATTGATGTTTTATACCTTTTTCTTTCACTAGTCTTCAAGCTGTTGAAACATTTTTTCAATAACTTGTCATTTGTTGTTGTTTTGTCTGGGTGAATCATCATGAAAACTAAGTAGAGAAAAAAAACAAACACCCCAATCATCAGAGAAAGGATATTTCAAAACTGCCCATATTTAGTAATTGACTAAGGTCTTATTGAATGCAGCTTTATTGATAGTGATGAGATTACAAAATAACACTGCATACATTTTAGTTCGTTGTTCCTTACATAGTACCAGAATGTTTTAAGCAAATGAATTTTTTTTTTTTGCCAAAATTTGCTGAATAAATAAAAAGTTTTTAAAGAATATCCAAGACAAATAATTTATTTCAAATTCCCTGAGAGGGCAAATTAAATGGTCTTTACCCAACGAATGTGCTGGAGGGTAAATCTTTAATATTTTAGAGTGTTTAATTCTCATAATTACCAATAGAGCACTGTTTGGAAAATTATGCTGTAGGGTTTTTTTGGCGTGAAAAGAAATACTGAAAAGTAATTCCTTTTAATGCTGCCTTGTGCTGGAGAACCTATTCATCAGTGGCTGGAATAGGGATCTAGCTCATTCAGAGATTACATAAATTCATTTGGTTGTAACTAACGGAAAAAAATTAATGAGGTGATTTTAGTTTCTTTCGCCTAGTAACTTGGATGAGTTCTGAAGACACTTGGCCAGGATAACTATCAAAAAAATAAAATTAAAAAGTTGACCTTTTAGAACATACATATTTCCAGGTAAACTTCTATTTACATGCGTATTTGTAAAATACACTTACTACAACTGCTGCTCTACCTTAAATCATAGAACCATTCAGTACTCACTTTCTTATGGCATCAATTATACCTCCTCACTCATAACACTTCACTACCATCTAATCATCTTTTAAAATTATACGAATCTGTACCATCACTGTCCTTCTATTCAAAACCATTCTTACAACATACGAAGTAAAAATAAAATTCATTCAGTGCACTGAAAGCAACTAATGCATCAGGGATGACAATTTGGCACCAAGAACCTAACTAAAAATGGACAAACTACGTTAAAGTTTGGCTTCCTGCAGACTTTCTCATCAGGTCTCTGGCCCATTCGGAAAAAGAGAGCTTGAATTTTATTATTTCAGCTGCTGGGTAACATGCAATTTCTCTGATACATTGAACTGATGCTTTTATTTGATCACAGGACTCAGACGTTACAAAAATAACAAGTCATTTTCTTTAATAAAAAATAAAAGGAAGTATATGGTTGGGTCCTAAGATTCTGGAGAGTAATTGAATGTAAGCTTAAAAACATACTAAATATTTTCCACTTGGGAAATCTGGAGAAACTAGGTTTCTAGCAGCAACTGCTTCAATAGGTGGTTTAAAGAATATGTTTCGCTTACACATGAAAGGGGACACACATTATTTTGATTCTGCATACTTTTATGTCTTTCAATTGGCAATGCAAGACATTCCAGGATATGAAACTTTCATCAATCCTTACTTTCCATACTCCTCGCCAATGTGGTATGTCAGAAATTCCAACATTCCAAATTCATATTGGTCTTTATTTTCCTAACTGTTGAAGCAGAAGATGGAACAGCAACGTACCTAAGAATCGGGTAAGCTCACATATGTGGATTTTCTGAGTTTTCAGATAAACAATGAAGAAAATAAGTTAAATAGTAATTTTAAATGATTTGTCCAGCTCTAACATGTCTCCAGTTTCATCTCTAGAAAGCCACTGCCAAGTTTTTGCACAATCTATTTTATCAAGCTTTGATAGACGAAAAATCCTCTAGTTTCAGCATCTCTTCTCATTATTCCATCGTGTAATGTTACAACTGATTGATTCTCATTTCATTTCAAGCCCTAGGTCCTCCTTTTCATACAATACTTCCAAGATGTCAATGGGAACACATCTATTAGTGTGCATCAAGGAATTACATCTATTCGCCCACTTATGATGTGTAGTCCACAATAAAACACCTTTTCTCTAAAAATTAACCATATACTATAGGCTTCTCAGTTGTATGAGTGTGTGCGTATACACACATAGACATACACCAAGGCAATATACCATATCCACATACACCAAGGTAAAAGATTCTTTGTGTAGGATAAGGAAACAGCCCAGTGCTTTTACATTAATAATGTCTTGTTCTTAATTTACAGCGTTTGTAGCCCTTACCTGAGTGTTATCATTAAATACCCAGAGATTGAACTTTTCATAAGGGGCAATGATATAAAATTGTTCCACAAAGTGTACTACATGAACCACTTTTCACAGTTCAGATAACATATTTTAGAAATAAATATCATAACTCTAGCAACAACCTATCTACACAAAGTGGAGAGGATGAGATGAATGAAAACCAAATTATATTTCCATATAACTCATGTTCAACTCCTAAATAGCTTGTTTTATTTTTCAAAATCCAATTGCACATAACCCATAATTGATAGGCCACTTCCTCTCCAAAACAAATAAACTGTCAAAGAATAAAGTGATAAATTATAAAAAAGGAAAATATGTATCATTTACTACAGTCATTCCCTTTCCTCAAAACTTGGCAAACATATAAGAAAAATGCTATCGGCCGGGCGCGGTGGCTCAAGCCTGTAATCCCAGCACTTTGGGAGGCCGAGACGGGCGGATCACGAGGTCAGGAGATCGAAACCATCCTGGCTAACACGGTGAAACCCCGTCTCTATTAAGAAATACAAAAAACTAGCCGGGCGAGGTGGCGGGCACCTGTAGTCCCAGCTACTCGGGAGGCTGAGGCCGGAGAATGGCGTGAACCCGGGAGGCGGAGCTTGCAGTGAGCTGAGATCCGGCCACTGCACTCCAGCCTGGGCGACAGAGCGAGACTCCGTCTCAAAAAAAAAAAGAAAAATGCTATCAAGTGGATATACTTTGATTATAAATCCAAAGCTAATTTGGAGCAGATGAGATTAATAAAAATAGGACAGAATGAGCATATATTTTTATATATGTGAGATGAGTGTTTGATTTTTACTTAAGAAATCAGGAGGATCCATATGAAATGGGAAACAATGGCATTTATCAACAGGAGAACCCGTTCATCCAGTTACTACCAAATCTGCAAATTCCAAATGTTTCTTTCATTCTTGTCTTACAAAAGATTGGGGCAAATAAAATTATTATTATTAGTTGTATAAACTTCAGGCTCTCTAAGCTTCAAGCTAATGGTCCTTAGGGACATAGTTTTATTTGGTGATCTTTGCAGGGCGTACATTAGGGCCAAGGTTGCCTTTAACCAGGTTGGTGTAGCTTTTACGGTGAGGGTAAGGCTCCCAGGGTATGTGAAATTCTTCTTTAACAGAGGACAAGGGATAAAATGCAAATCCTTCTAGTTGAAACAACCACATGACTTAAGTTTACACTATAAATTAAATGACTCAAATCAATTCCTTGATTGACAGCAGGATTTTATGGTAGAAAATAAACTGGGGCCTGAGGCATGGAAAAAGAGAAATGTCCGCTAACGCAAAGGTTATCAACTTTACGGTCCCTGGGTGGAATCCCTATTCCTTTTCGGTCAGATCTTGTTTTAAGCTTTATTACGTTGTCATGGGATATCTTTCAAAATCCTTTACTCAATCACATTTGGGGGAAAAATTGCGTTGAAATAGAGAATTAAATCTTAAGTCTACGTAGATCGACAATTTCCATTTTTAAATAAAATCTATATGAATATCTTCAACTTCCTAAAGAAAAAAGAGAGAGAGGAAAATAAACTTTTGAACACGAAATCACTTACATAAACCTCAAGTGTACTAAAGTGTAGAGGAAAAAAATCTCAAATGTGGGTGTAACCGCTATACATTTAGGAAACATGCCGCCTTGGAACAGTGCCTATAACGAATTCCGTCTGCCACCCAGTGGCCGCTGAAATAAATTGTTTCTTTTGTTGGCCATGGCCCTGTATTTTGATTAAAAAAAAAAAAAAAAAAAAAAAAAGAGGTAGATTATGCCATACCAGGAATTTAAAGCCATCAGGACATGTGCCTCGACATATTTTACAATACAATCAGTGTAGTAAATGTTAAATATTTTCCTTTTCGCGAACTCAGAGGTTAACCACGTGGCTCTATGAATAAATAACGTATTCTTTCTGCGTCCCTGCATCTACCTGGGCTCAGATACTGACTGGCACAGAAGATACCGAACTGGCCCGGGATTCCCGAGTCACGTTGTTGGGCATCGAGAGGGTGCAGCAGGACACGCCGACGGTGGCCTCGGGTAGCTCGTCGTCCTCCGTCCACTCGTTGAGCTCGGGGCTGAAGCACTGGATGCACTTCTTGTACTTCTTCTCGCCCTCGTTCCAGCCCCCCACCAGGTAGGCGCGGCCGTGCAGCGCCGAGACGCCCGCGGTGCTCACTCCCACCTGCAGCGGCGCCGCGTAGCTCCACTGGCCGGTCGCGGGGCTGTAGCACTCCACGGTGAGCACGTCCACGCGCTCCCCGCGCGGCCCCAGCTGGCTGCCGCCCATCACGTACACTCTGTCGCTCAGCGTGACCGCGCAGTGCCAGCCCCTGGGTGTGCTCAGGCTCGGCAGCTCCTGCCACGAGTCGCTGGCCGGGTCGTAGGCGCACACAGAGCGCGAGTATGCGTTGGCGATGTAGCCTCCGGTCACCAGCACGCGGCCGTCGGCGACCGCACTGGCGTGGCAGCAGCGTGCCACCTCCAGGGGCGTCTTCGGCTGCCACTGATTGGTGGAGGGCACGTAGCATTCCAGAGAGGCCAGGCTTCCTTCTGCGTTGCGGCCGCCCGCGGCGTACAGGAGCCCGTTGAACACGCTCAGGCTGAAGTGCGTGCGCTTCTGGTTCATGCTGGCCAGGTGTATCCAGGTGTTGAAGCGGGGATCGTATCTGGAAATGACAGAGAAGGTGTAACAGCTTTGTCGGCGGCAGCTGGGGACCCCATGTTACTCCGCAAACCATAGTGGGAAGCCTGACACTACCCCTGCAAGGAGGCGAGGACCTGGTCCAGCTCCTCACCTGGAGGCTGGAGTTTCTCTCTCAGCCAGTAAAAATGTGTGACACTTGCTAAAGACAAAGCAGGCATTGACTACCCCTCGCCCCCGCCTTTCCTCCGTTTATAAGCACTCCCTTTATGGGGCCGCTTGGAGAAGAGCCCACTGAGACTGAGCTTTCAGCGCCCGTTTCCTCTATATTGAAATATCTACATACAGCGGGATTTATGAGATGTGCACATGGGGGATACTGGGCATTTGTGGTGATCAGAGGAGGGCAACGCCATATTAAAGTCAATTCTGCATATCTTCAGATGCCAACCATTCCCAGCTCCCTCTCACTGTTTAAGATACGAATTGACTGATTGGATTTCTCAATTTCTCGCAAACCCCTTATTTCTACACCTCTCTTGGCCATTGCGACAGTAAAGCCCAAGCCACTCAACAAAGTCTTCTCCTGTCTGTTAGACTGAGAGCAATGGAACTCATGTCTAAAAGCATCATCAAAGGCTTAACTTTGGATACTTTTCTATTTTCCAGCACTTATTGGTAGAGAAGACTTTTTAGTTTAAGGATAAATATATATATATATTTTCAGTGCTTGAAACTATCCATGTATAAGCACTGAAATCAATACCTCAAAAAGCGACTTGAGTACTAATAGGTGTCTTTTCAGCAGGAGGAAAATAAGCATAGTGAACTGATGCTTTCCTGTTGACATAGTTCAGAAATATTGTAAATACAGAACTCACTCCTTCAGTCTGATGTTCGTCTTTGTCCCATGTAACTTTGTCCCATAGTTAAGATTAAACTTAACTATAGTTACAAATTAAACACTGAAAATCAGTTAATTGTGTTCTTTTCAATGCATACACACATAATGGAATAATAAAGAATATTTTTCATGAAATGCTACACAAATTTTCAGATCTTGCTCATTAGTTATGTTTGACTTCATACTACTACCATGATATAAGCATGATTTTCTGAACATTTCATATAAATGGAAGTTTAATTTTTAATCATAAATATATAAAATAATATGGCATTTGAATTCCATTTTTCTGAAGGATGTGTTTTACTCTTTTACCCTTTTCTATATGTGTCAACAATATTGACACATTTTCTGTTATTCGGTTTTCAAATAAGTATTTCAAAAGAATTAGCTGCCACAGTTTTAGTGATCTCATTCTATTTGCCAATTATGAATTTGACAGTTGTCAGTAGTAGTCACTTAAAATAAATTTTGTTTTATTCTATTCTTTCTTACTACTTAGTGTTAAAAACTAAATTTGTACCTAATTTCTATCAAAAATCAGTATATTGTGAAGAGTACCCAACTAGAAATGAGTAAATGTGAATTGCCGCTTACTGGTGTTATAACTTCTCTGGGTATCAGGTTTCTCATATGTAAAATCAGAATAATTATCTCTTCCCCGCCCACCTCACAGGCTTGCTTCAGGAATCTATAGTGCAAAATATATATGAATGCACTTTATGTAATGTAAAGTGCTGAACATACGTAAGGTGGCATTATTATTATTTTTGATTTACTAAGCCAATGGACTAAGCTAATAAGCAAGATTAATTTATTTCTATGTTAGGGCTATTTCCCTATAATATTGAACCATTTCAGTTCCTAATAAAAGATCAAGTACCTGCAGAAATTGCTGACTGCATGCTTGGCTTGATTTCTTGCATCATTCTGGTCTTCACCACCGGCTACATAAAGAAATCCATCCATCACAGCCACACACTGATTAAAACTTTTGGCTGGCATTTCTGTAAGCTTGCTCCACCCATTTTCAGGGTCTCTATACAAAATGTCTCTGCTAAGGGACTTCTCAGTAAGGCCTGGGCGTCCCCCAATGGTGACGAGGACTCGGCAGCCGCCTCGGATTCTTGTTCGCCTAGATTGTAATGTGTTTTGATGATATGGAAGCAAGTGGTAGTTCATAGCATCTACGAGAAGTTTGTGACAATCAGCATCTTGCATCATTCTTGGGACGGATTGAACATAATTGACCAGGTCTTGTGCAGAGATGGTACCAAAGCGAATATTGCTCAAAAGATCTGCAGCGTATTTTACTCTCTTTTGGTCAAATTCTAACCATTTCATTGCAATCTGGAATGCTACTATCTCAGAAGGCAACTGTAAGTCATCATCTATAAGAAGTTCATTAATTTGTTCAAATGTAAGTTTCATAAACTGATCCGATTCTGCAAATTCAAGGAAGTTATCCCGAATAAATTTCTGGGCTGCTGCTTTTGCATTTTTTAGGGAGTATGTTTCAGCAATATTAACAACATACATGCAGTTCTCAACACTCATCTCCCGTATCAGAAAATCACTGCACATCTTTACAAGAGTATGGATCTGAAGATAAACAGCGGCAGAAATAATACTTCCTATTGTATACAAGGAGAGAGTGAGCTTTCCAGTGTAGGCATAAGCAATGACAGTGGCCAGGCCTAGTGGTGAGATATCATTGAGATCCACCCTCTGAGTTGATGGGTCTTTTTTCAGGATGTTGTAAAAATACTCACTGCATGAAGCCATCACTGACTTATGAACGTCAAAGGATTTGGTTTTGGTACCAATGACTAAGTCACATAGGAAGTTCTCCTGCCGCATTTTACTTAAACCTTCCAAGAGGTTGGGGCCATAAGAAGCATCTGTTAGTTCAGAGGAAATGCAGCTAAGGCCATTGCCTCCCTCTAGGAGCCCATTCAAAGCATTCAGTTTGTTTAGGGGGCTATCTTCTACGATTATAGTCATCTCATTGATATCTCCTTTGTTCTTTTTGGCAATCTTCTTTTTGGGTGCCATGTTGGCAAATACACTGTCACAGGCAAGAGCTTGCTAAAAAAAAGGAAAAAAAGGCATAGTTTTATTTTAATTGTGCTTTAGACTTTGAAATACTACACTGAGAAACCTTTTCATAAGATAACAGTTTTCGTGGCATAAAATAGATTAATTTTAAAAAATAGATTTAAAGACATATTAAACTAGATGCACATTTTACAGATAGGTTACTTCAGCATGAAGCATTGAAGACAATTCTAGGAAGATTTATGTTATCAAATGAAATCTCTCCATAACTGTATTGCCAGGTAATTATACAGAAAAAGTGACCACGTTTTCTTTCTTTTTTTTTTCTTTCTTTTTTTCTCTTTTCTTTCTTTCTTTTTCTTTTTTTTTTTTTTTTGAGACAGCCTCTCTCTGTTGGCCAGGCTGGAGTGCAGTGGCATGATCTCAGCTCACTGCAACCTCTGCCTCTCAGGTTCAAGCGATTCTCCTGCCTCAGCCTCCCAAGTAGCTGGGACTACAGGTGTGTGCCACCATGCCCAGGTAATTTTTGTATTTTTAGTAGAGATGGGTTTTCACCATGTTGGCCAGGCTGGTCTCGAACTCCTGGCCTCAGGTGATCTGCCCGCCTCCACCTCCCAAAGTGTTGAGATTACAGATGTGAGCCACTGTACCCAGCCAACATTTTCTGATTGAGCTATACAGTAGAATAGTAGTTAATTATCATTTAAAGGGTTTAGTTTACTCTCATGAAAAAGTGAATTATAAACACTCCGAAGATTTTCCTCAGTAAAATACTAAAATTCAGGAATCCATATGAAATGTAGAAAATATTATCGAAAGATTATTTTATTTGCAGTAGCAATGAAACCTGTTATATTTTAAGAGATATACACACTTGACTCGAATTTAGTGAGACACGTATGATAAGTACTATCAGATTTTGCCAGAGGATTTAACAGAGAGGGACTCTAGAGTCCTATATGAAGAGATGGATGTCAATTCAGTGAAATTTTAATTGCTACCTCTATATTTTTTCTTTTTGGAAATTAATGAAATGATTTCAGAGTTTAACTGAGGGAGTGAGTATAAAAGAACATCTAGGAATATTGTTTAAAAATAAAGGAATTCTTACCAGATGTAAAAAAATTAGAGGAACTAAAAATTTTGGATAAGGAATAAAAAGAAATTCAGTGGAATAAGATAAGAGGTCGAAACCTATAAACTCACCAGAACAAAATAAAGGGTAGAAACCCGTATATGTGTGTATGTGTGTATAGATATATACAGTATATATGTGTGTGCATATTTATACATTTATATAGTGTATGTGTGTGAGTATATATATTAGGATAAATGTGGCGCTTAAAAAATCAATGGGCAAGAACTTGTAATGATAGCATTAGGTCAACTGATTTCCTACTCTATATATTCACTAAAATAACTTCCAGATGAATTAAATATCTAAGTAACATATACACATACACAAACTTACATCAATCAGAACAAGCTAGGGATCTTGTTTTTGTTTTTGTTTTTACATCTTAGGGTAGGGAAGGCCCTTCTCAGCTGACACAAAATCCAGAAGCCATAAAAGGAAAGACTGAAATATTGGAATATAGAAAAATAAAAACATGAAACAAAACTGACTCTTTAAAAAGCAAGCAACAGACTGGGAAAACAAGTATTTTTAACCTTTTGGTTTTTGAGATAGGGTCTCATTCTATCACCCAGGCTAGAGTGCAGTGGTGTGATTTTGGCTTACTGCAGCCTTGACTTCCAGGACTCAAGCAATCCTCCCACCTCAGCCTCCTGAATAGCTAGGGCTACAGGTACATGCCACTATGCCTGCCTATGTTTTTTTGTATTTTTTTTTTTAAGAGAATGGGTTTCACCATGTTGCCCAGGCTGATCTCAAACTCCTGGGCTCAAGCAATCCACCTGTCTTGGCCTCCCAAAGTGCTAGGATTACAGGCATGAGCCGCGTTGGCCAGCCTAATCTGATGATTTCTTTGGTGCAAATACACTCATCATGGCTGATTTCAAGCTATCAACTGCTTAACAATCAGCTTGCCAAATTTCTGAAAATTCAACAATCAGCTCTTGTGAGCCAGTGTAAGCCAGCTCCAACATAACACTATGGAAAACTTATATCAAAACAGGTTTATGCTAATTATTCAACAATTTTCTCTTTTCGCTAGCAGTAACTCATGTACATCTTTCCATAGCAGTATATGTATAAATCCACCTCATTCCTTAAAATCGGTGCATAGTTACACATAGTAAGGGTATATCATACATTGTTCAACTATTATCCTGTTGATAAGCATCTACGTATTTAGGTGGTTTACAATTTTTTGTTTTTGTTGTGTGTGTGTATGTGGGAGGGGAGGGGTGGTGTGTGTTTTAAATCCCACTGTAATTTTATCCTGAGGGGTAAAACTCAGCTTTGGCTCTCCTTGAAGGGTTATCAATTTGATGGGTGGTGTATGTGTTAAAGTAATTTTGTAGCCCTTCTATTGTATTTGCTCCTGTTGCTATCCATGCAGAAGAAGAGTAGCAGGTAGGCAGAAAATAGAGATGGTCTATTTCTTTTCCAGGGCTTTTGTTTTCTTCTTTAAGCTCCAGTTATCATATTCACATTTATATTTTCTACAAGACTATAGCACATATATCCTTCATTCTTTTTTTGCAAACAATGCAAAATGCGTCCTTACCTTGTGAAAATAGATTATGAACCCACTATCATTTTAATGCTCAAATGCATTAATTTATGTGTTGAGTGTCTCCTTGTTGGATTTTCTGGGAGAAGCCTTTGAGTATTTGTCAGCAAGCGGTTATCAGATATCCATCTTGGTGTGGGCAGCACAGTGCTGGGAACGATGGAGCAGTACAAGATGTAACTTATATTAGAGAGACAAGACATGGCAAATGTAAAATATTAATAAGGAGCTAGGTAAGCATAGCAGAGTAAATTTGGGGGGAAAAGTCCTGTCTGTGTTCCTGGAAGAACTCCTGTGGCCCATTTTTTTTCATTCATATAGATACAGAATTTGTAAATGCTCATCGTTTAGAGGAAATCCTGAGTCTGAGGAGTAATCTGAGTGCCTCAAACTGAAATCCTAAATATTCTGTTATTCATCATTAAGATGTTGTTTCATAAGTAGCATGTAAGGGTCATATTTAAAATATTAATTACTGATAAAACAGGACATCTACTAACCAGAATGGATTCAGGCCACAGTGCTGGACCTGGGTCCCAGTGACTCCCTAGGGTACACTGTGTAATTCTTCAGCTACTAGATAATAGACCCAGGAGAGGGTGGAAGGGTGGGAGGGACTCAGAGAAGCTCAGGGCAGCAGCTGTTTGGCTATTTCAATTTGTTTGATATACACATAATATTTACAGAGAGATCTTAATATTTTAGCATACTTTCTGATCCACATGGAATTAAATTAGAAATTAATAACAATAAGTTGTCTAGGAAAACCATTTAATTTTCAATATTTGAAAATTAAACAATTTCCTTTTACATTATCCATGAGTCAAAAAAGAAATCACAGGAGAAATTTTGATAATATTTCAAATAGAATGACAATGAAAATATAACATAAATACCAATTTTACTACTTATCTGCCGTGTGACTTTTGATAGATTACCTAGCCTGATAGATTACGTAGCCTCTTACAGTCTCCACTGACTTATTTCTTAAGAGAAGATAATAATAGTGCCTGCCTCTAGGGTTGTCAATGAAAGCCTAATGAGGAAATGTCTGTAACAGCATTTTGCAGAGTACCTGACAAAAAGTGAATGCTCAAAAAATTTGAACCATTTTCATGACAAGCAATAGCCTATGTTAGTTGTCTTTGGGAATAAAGAAAGGAGCCTGTTTAAGCTTTAGAGTGAAGTGAATCAGAGAAAGCCACCACATCATGGACAAGCAGTCGTGAGGAGCCACCACATCATGGACAAGCAGTCGTGAGGAGCAGGAGGCAATATGGGACAGTCACATAGTGACTCAGAAAAGAAGTGGCAAACAGCAACCAAGGGAAGAGTTCTGGAACATGTAAATATTTCTATGAGATTTTTAAAAAACGCCAGGGAGAGAAAGGGAATACATACAAATACACAACCTGAGAAATAGTTTTTCATTTTGATAGGTCGGGCTAACCCCAAAAGTTCAGAAAACTTGGGGCATTTGGTTATAGGTTAGATGAGCAAAACAACAGAGTACATGGAACAGATTGTGTATCTGGATTTAAGGATTCAAATAAAAAGGACTATTGTGGTGGGGTGGTGTTAGAATGGGAGGTTTTGCAGATAACACAAATCTTGTTGGGTCTTGGTAACTGAAGGGTTTTAAAGAGCAGCATGTATAGGAGGGAGAAGGTTATTAGAAGTACAGGAAATGTTTCAAGTTGCAGCAGGGAGGCGTGACTCAGCCTGTCACATGCATTCAGAGATGGCTGAGGTCATGAGGGAGATAGTTGGGCAAGTAATGTTCGGTCAATACATACAGGAAGTTGGATGCCAAGAAGGTTTGAACCTGATAAATTCATATGCAGTCCGGAAGGACTAAGAAATCTCCAGGAAGAGAGAGAGCAACTTGAGGCTAGATGAAATAGTGAAATCAGTAAAAGCTTGCTCTCTCTCCATTTTCTTTCTCTTATTTCCTATTGATGGCTTCTCTTTCCTCCATTGCCTGACCTTCATGCTACTCCTGGTGTTCCCACTGTTGACCCAGCCCTGGCCTGTTCCACTCACGGGAACTTCCATGCCCTTCTTTTTCTTTATATTCTCTTGCCCTTGTCCTATTTCTCTAAGACCCCTCTGGGTAATACATTAGCTAGTCTGACAAATGAATCCAAGCTAACCAGTTAATGGGCAGATCTACTCTTTTTCTCAGATATGCATGGTTTTTGTTTTATAAATAAGTGTCCTTCTATGACTCACATACAAATTTCTATCAGAGTAGCCTTTGTAGAATACATATATTCATATATATGTACTGACTTGCTGAATATACCACATACATTTCAGAAGAATTTGTATTCTGCAGTTGTTGGGTATAATGTTCTATAAATAGAACATTATAATCAGGGCAATTGACAATGTTGTTCAGGTAATCTATAACATTACTGAAAACGTATAGATAGATACACACATGCACACACATATGTATTTATATTTTTTTTTATTAAAAGAAGTCTTTTAGAGCCTGTGAAATCACTTTTTAGAGGTAACTGGCTTACTTAGCTTTCTCCAAAGTGGGGAGAAGGAAAGGAACAGGCAGTAGACCATTTAAGAAACTTGAAGTCAGGCTGGGTGCCATGGCTCACTCCTGTAATCCCAGCACTTTAGGAGGCCGAGGTGGGTGAATCATCTGAGGCCAGGAGTTCAAGACCAGCCTGGCCAACATGGCGAAACCCTGTCTCTACCAAAAATACAAAAATTAGCTGAACCTGGTGATGCGCGCCTGTAATCCCAGCTACTCGGGAGGCTGAGGCAAGAGAATCACTTGAACCTGGGAGACAACAGAGGTTGTAGTGAGCCAATATTGCACCACTGCACTCTAGCCTGGGCAACAAAGTGAGACTTTGTCTCAAGAAAAGAAACCATTGAAATCAAAGCCTGCAAGCAACTTTCTTGTGGCCAGATTTTCCTATCTATACTCATAAATTCAGTCTTTCTTTAGAGCTACCATGATATCTCATTGCCGGGTCTGTAACTCATAGGTAAGGTTGTCCACCCACCCACCCAAGTGTTCTCACTCTGTGCCATGCTCCTCCAATAAGGACACTGCTGCAGATCCTTCAGAGGAAACAGAGGATCAGGATCATTGCTTTGAAGCTGAGCAAAGTTCTGATGTTGACTTCAGGGCTGCAGAGTTGTTCATTTGTTCCTATGTCCTAACAAATGCTCTGCCTGTGGCCCTGCTCCTGCATCTCCCAAAGCCACTGCTTTTCTCAACTTGAGGAGAACTGTGGTCAACTAATAATTAATAAGCCCCATCTTGTGCTGCAGGCCCTGTTACAGAAAAGACTAGCTCCCTCTTTATGGGGGATCAGAAATCAGAGGCTAAGTTCTCATGGGGCATACAGGAAAGGCTTTAACAAACTCTCCAGGCCCCTCACATTGGAGCCTTTCTGGGTACAGACACAAGGCATGTCACACTGGGTGCAAACAAACACACACCTGCCTAAACACACAGCACACCACTTGATGAACCAGGAATTTTCCACAATCATGTTTAAGTTAAGAGCAAGGGCAATCTTCAAGGAAAGAAGTCATAAAAGGCCAGCAAAGTAATATATTTGCACAGGAAAGGAAAGTGGAACAATTTAATTTACTTCCTTTTACTAATTTGGTCATAGTGCTGGGCTTTGAGGCTGATGATATGGGCTAATAGATGACTGGGAAAAAATTGAGTATTTTTAAAAACATATTATCCAGTAACCAGGTCACATGTGGACATGTAGTCAGAGCAATTCCTACAGGAACTCTCACTGTTTTTTCCTACAATGTTACCAATGTTCACTGTGTACTCCTAGGTCATCATCAATGATGGTCACAATGACAGTCAAAATGTGGCTGTGAGGAAGAGGTGTTACAAAAGTGAGTGACATGTATGTGTTCATATATAGAGTATAACTTACATGCTGAGCAATACATTTTGAAACATTCCGTTCTTTTTGATTCAATTAATACTTTAACTTGGCAAAGTTGGATGAGGGTTTTACTTACTCTTTTTTTTTTTTTTTTAAATTTTTAATATCTCTCTCTTTCTTTTCTTTCTAACAGAGTGAATATCTTGTTGTCAGCTGCTCAGGGCGTCCCAAGCTGGGTAGCCAGGGCCCAAGCTTGGTAGCCAGGGCCATCAGCCAGGATATGATTACTATACCCTAGGGAGGGCTTTGACTCGGATTATGGTCTGCATGGCAAGGCATGCATCTTTGCTAAACTGCCCGTGGCTGGGAGAGTGTGAAGGCCGTTTCTCCATTTTTCCTAAACCACAGCAGGCTTGGTTGTCCCTGGCTACCTAAGGGGGGCTCTAACACGTTGCCTTTTGGGATCAAAGGGAGGAAGAACTTTACAAGCTTCTGCCAGGACTGTTGGTGGCTTGCACTTTTCACACTATTCCTACCATAGTAGGAATTCTGGAAGGAGGAGCAGGTTTAGCCACAGCAGCTGAGGTTGTGTAATGGGATGAACAGCTATTTGGAGGCACTGCCAGTCCCTTCCCTTTTTGGGTCAAAGAAAAGACTTTGCACAGGATGCCGAGGGTTGTAGAAGGGTCCCTATGCTACTGGAGTTATCCTTTCATTCTGTGGAGGAAGCCCAGAGAATTCACCTTCCCTTGCTATGCACTCCACAGTCTCTCTCCTTCTGCTCTATCTGTTATCACGCAGAGCAGCCTCTTGACTACCCTGGAAGAGCTGCCCATTAGAAACTGGGCAGAAGGGTAACAGAGAGGCAATTCCACACTCCCCTCCCCATGCCCACTGCAGATCCTGGCTCTTGGGCCATTTCTAGTGCCATGTATTCAACACCTGATAAGCAGCTGGGCAGAATTACGTAAATCATCACATTTTGCATCATCTTTTCTATTTGCCAAATTTAAGTATATTAATTCTTAAATATACATCACCAAGCAGGAATCTGTGTTATGTATTTAATGTAAATTGATAACTCCATTTTCACCTAAAAAACAGCTATATAGCTAGTGTTTATTAATTGAGAGTATACTACGTGCTGGGCCCCTTAAAGTATGTTAAGTACTTTACATAATTTTAGTTTTTAAATTTAAATATTACAGATATCCTAAAAGTTAGGTTATATTATGTTCATTTTACAAATGAAGAAATTAAGAATCAGAAAGAGTAAAAAAAAAAAATTGTCCAAGATCACATAAGTAAGTGTGCAGTGTGTGCTGGGGCAAAAATTCAAACCCATGGAAACCCTGGTCCCCTATATTGTCTTCTTTAAATCCAGGGTAGAATAAAAACTGTAGTAGGTTAAAAGTTAGCTTTTTCTACCATGGGAGGATAGAGACAGTGCAAGGTATAGCTAGTGTTTATAAAATTAAAATTTTGATATGGAGAACATGAAATGGTTCATTCTGGTTCCAAATAATGGAATAAAATAGTTACCTTTTTGAATGTAAAATAAATTTGTTTGGGGACACATCGATCCTGTGGATTTCTTTATCCTATCAAGGGTATTAAGAATGTGAAAATCCAATAGGTTAGGTAAGCCAAATAAATAGGGACAAGGAGGGCTTGCATGACTTTGTTTATCAGATAATCAAGCACTTCCTTTAGAAGTATTAGATTGAATATGAAATTATCATTTTTTTGTTTAAAAGCAAATACTTTCCATTTCATATGGTTCCACTTAGCTAGAGGCTGTGCCTAACTTTATCTATAAAGAATACAGACTCTATGCACAAAGTTAACTACAATTCTATTCTCTAAGGCTGGATATAGGACACAAGGACACAGTACGAAAGTTTTTGTTTGGGTGTTGTTGAAAACTTTAGTAAATTGACTCTTTTTCTTACCTAGTATTTTGTGTGTTGGAGGGAGAGGAGGTTAGAAATTGAGTTTTTGATCATCATAGAACTGAAAATTGGATTTCGGTGTTCATTCTGCTCTAACCGCTTGATAGACCTATGTCAGAACGTCCAACCTATCAGGATTTCAGTTTAATCATCTGTCAAACAAGGAGATGCATTACTTTTGCTTCTATAATTTTGCAGAGAGTTATGAATACACAGCTGACTTTTGCTGTCAGAATTGTCAAAATCTGTTCCTACATCAAATGTCCCTTTAATATGGCCTTCCATATCTCTAGAATCTACTCATTACCAGATAGGGATGAACCGACTGAGACAAGGTTTCTTTACACGGGATCTATATGTATGTCTGGGTCTGAACAGTTGGATTTAACAAATAAAAATACAAGATGTCAAGTTACATATGAATTTCAGATAAACTATGAATCAGATTTTAGTATAGGTACGTCCCAGGCAGTGTTGGGGACATACTTATACTAAAAGTTGATTTGTAGCTTACCTGAAATTTAAATGTAGCTGGATGATCTGACTTGTACCTGGCATTCCTGATCTGGGTTGGGTATCAGGTGAGTCCACGAGTCCTATGGGATAGTCTGAAACATACTGTGTGCATATGTTTATGTGTACTTTCCACACAGTGGGCTCCGCGTTTTCATGAGATCCATAACCCTAAATAGATCCAAAATGACTGGACTGAGAATAATGCTGCCAAGCGATGGCACATAATTGGACCCTTGTCTGTAAGTGGGCAAGTCCATGTGAAAGCATGGCACTTAAATTCTTCCTGGCCCCAACTGATCCCAGAAGAAGGCCCCCAGAACTGGTTACAGAAAAGTGTTGTTACTTCATATTTGAGAACATTTTCCTTCCCACTGCCCTGCACCCGTGCTTCCTGGGAGAGCGTCCACAACAGGGCAAGCTGAAAAGCCATGTGTGCTAAAGTGTCACTGTCACTCTCATGCCAGTATGAACTGGGATCCCAGAATGTCTTTTTGCCAAAGGGGCGAATCAGCTGCTCCTGCTCCCTGTCCTGGCCACATTCCTATCACTGCATCTGTCGGGGCTCATCAGCCCTACCTCCAGGAATAGCAACCCTCCTGGCTTCTGTCGCTTGCCATTTTAAGTCCAGCTTCGGGGTGATGGGGGTGGGGGGTGGTTTCCACTTTACCATGACACTTCCAACATGATTTTAAATATAAAATATATGTCAGCATAATGACATGTGCACATTTAAGACAAATACCTATTTTTTAGCCAAACAACAATTTTTTTTTTCCAGAAAGGATATTTCCATTTTGTCAATAGGTTATATTTCTGGGAATTCAGAGTTGTCCGATATCTGTGCTACAGATTTAGTTAAAACTGGTAACATTTTATGCAAACTGATCAGTACCAAATGTTAAAATGATTCTTGATAAAAATAAAGATAGAATTCTAAACTTTGTGAACAAAGCCTAAGAATTTTCTCTCCTTCTCCTTCTCTATAAAGTAGTGAAAGAAAAATATATCTTAAGCTTTAGAGATTTAGAATTTTTGTTAGAAATTACAGGTGGTTTTACGTTTATAGCGCATCGCTGTCATGCATTTCTGTTACTGTGACATTCTCCTAACACACTACATTTCTCAGATTTCAAAAAAATGTTTTCTGTCTCCCAACTTCAGATTAGGGACATGAACCACCTGACCCAGCTGTAGACTCCCTTCAGTGAAATAGCTCTACAACCACAAACACTCAGCCCACCGTCTCCCACCCACACATCCACACACACCCCAGGATCTAGAAGGCAGGAATTGGAGACTCTGGTCCCAGCTCCTTACCCTCCTTGGGTGAAGTGGCAGGTCAACTGGAGATGATGAAGTTTTAGCAGGAGACTCCTCTTGGGAAGGGATCTGTGGAGACAGAGAGAGGGAGAAGGAAAATCCAGTGGGGAGCCACCAGCAGCCACCTGACAAGACCCGACTGCAGCAATTTTTAGAGTGACCCTTTGCCGTCCCACTGGATAAGGCAGGCCGAGCCTGCGCTTTGGCCGGGAGCACAGCAGCGAGGGCCCTCCTCGCCGTCTTTGGCCTTCAACTCTCCGGGCCAGCCGGGGGCAGGGGGCGGGGCTCCGGTTGGTGGAGAGGGATTGGGTTTCTTGACCTGACCGGCTGTTCAAAAATAAAAAAAAAAAAAAAAGAAGGAAAGAAAGAAAGAAAGTCAAGAGCTCAATCAACCTGTGTGAGAGGAAAGAAAATTAACTCGATGGGTGTTTAATTGTTGGAAGCAGGGATTCTAGTAGAGTAAGGAGAAGGGAAGGCTGTGGATTAAAAATTAGTTTTTGGAAAGGTAATTAGTCTGGTCACCTACGGTCTTTTGAGAAGAGAGTGGTTATAAATAGCCTGTTCTTTATAAGAGGAGCACTTATCTATCAGACATGGTACTTTCTACAGCACCTCACATGTGGTTCTAACATTATTAGGTTCATTTTATAGTTTAATAACGTGAGGTTTATGGCCAGCGATTTTCCCGTGATCACAGAGAGGTCTGAGATTAACACACACTCTGGTACACATGCAGGTTGGGAAATACCTACCTTGGCAACACTTCATGAGAAAAAAAAAAAATTTTAAGGATTGTAATTGACTAAAAACTTTTAATGGGCACCAAGAGTGTGAAATGGTTGCTTAAAAAGTTAGCATGATATTAAGCTACAATAATAGAAAAATAGTTCATGGAAAATAAATGTTCTAATTATTCTTCATTAGTCAGACGATGTGTTAAGCATCGCTTTGCCATCTTGGCACTCTGAGAACTTACTCTTCATCCTACAGAAGATAACTGGAACAAAAAAACTTCAGCGGCGGTGCATGTTGGAAGCATCTGAAGAGAAGTATGACAAAGAGAGGAATTTTAAGATAGGTGAGACTCCTGAGAGCAAGTGTTGTGGGGGCTGTTGTACAGCAAGGGGATTCAATCAAAATTTCTGTAGCCTAAAATGTCAAAATTTGTAATGTGCAGTAATTCTGGGGAAATACCTTAAAATAAAGAAGAGTGCAGATAACAGCTGGGTTCTAATGATGACAATGTCAGCCTTGTAAAAGAGCCAGTTCTCTATAATTAGAAGGGTGGAAGTAAAAGAAGTTGCAGGACTGGTGTGACATTGAAGGGACTCTGTCTATGGCTGGGGGCTTCACTGCGTCATCTCTGATATCTTTCCGACTCTAAGCCTCTTTGATTCTACATGTACCAGTCTCCAGTTCACCTGAGACTCTCATTTCACTGGATAGCATCTGTCTATTCACTACTTCTGTTGGAATTCCCACCAAGTTTTTAGTAGGAAAAACTATTTTGATTTTTTAAAAAATTCTTTGCTTCCACCCATAGATCTCCAGCACAGAATGCGCTGGGAGTAAATCAAAGAAGTTTATATTATGGTTTGCTTCTAAGCAATTCTACTTGGTCCCACCTCCTTGACTCAGGTAAAGGGTCAGAATATTCCATTTTTTTTTTTTTAGAGACAGGGTCTCACTATGTTGTCCAAGCTGGTCTCAAATTCCTGGTCTCAAGTGATCTTTCTGCCTTGGCCTTCAATCTTGTTTTATTATAATAAAAGTCAGCCTTATATCAGTATTTATGATAATGATGATATAATGATAGAAAGGGCCTTCAAGAAGATGTTGGTACCAATATTATCATCTTCAAGGGTTCAGGACTATTAATTCCAGTTTTGCCAGAACATCACTGAGATGCTCCTTTCAATAGAATATAGTTTAATGTTAAGATACGAACACAAGTGGAAGAATAAAAGGCAAAAGATGGAAAATCTAAGACACTTTAATACATCATTTTCAGAGTAGCTACTCTCTGTAACCATTCAACTACTGCTATGGTAGATACACTGGAGACACAGCTTGGAACAGTAGGTTATAGTGAAAACTAAGAAATTTTGTCTTCATCTTTAAAGCAATGAGCCTACCAATTGGAGCATATTTAATAAAAAAGAGGGCCATGATGAGATTGGCATTTTAGAATGAACATTCTATAATTTGGGGATGTAACCTTAATGGAATTTAGATTGAGCAATTATTTGTTTCTATTGCTACTACCTGTCTCTCTTCCACCAACCTCCCAATACCCTCTGCCATACAGCCAGCTCAAATGTAAGCTCCATGAAGGCAGGGCTTTTTAGCTGTCCTAACAGCAGACTTTCTCTTTTGCTGGCTTTGATAAAACCCAGTGCCAGGTTGGAGATGCCCAAGCAAGAAGCAGCCAGCTAGAAACTAAAGCCTTCAGTTCAACATCCCAAAAGATGATGACAATCATCTTTTAGTGAACCTAGAAGTCAGTCCTTCCCCAGTAAGCCTTCAGTTGAGGCCCCAGCCCTGTCTAACACCTTGATTGAAGCCTTGTGAGAGAGCCTAGAGCAGAGGACCTAGGGAAGCTCTGCCTCCATCCCTGATCCAAAGAATCAGTGAGCTTATAAATGCATGTTGTTTTAAGCTGCTAAGTTATACAGCACTAGGTGACTAATATGGTATGCTTCTATTTGCCTTTTACTAGTTTAATTCTTGCAGCATCTTTGCCAGATAAAATTCCTGTTTTATATATAAGAAAACTAAGGCTGTTTTAACTTGTTTCAGATCACATGGCTGGTAAGGGATGGAGTCAGAATTTGGACCCAAGTTGTCAGGCTCCCAAGTGTGCTCTCTTGATTACTTGACTTTACACGAAAGCAGTGGCTGGGTCTGATTTGTTCACAGTTGTCCCATTCTCCAACATAGTGTATGGCACATAGTAGATTCTCAATAATGGTTAATTAATTTCTTAATCTAGAACATTGCTAACTGAATGATGAATAGATTTATTTTGTTCATGCAAGATAATTTTATAAGCATTTTCAAAAAGTATAATTGTGCCTGTTTGGTCTCAGAGGTTTCTTCTTGTTTTGTGGTATGGCTTCTTCAGGGCCACATACTAATTGACTGAAATTTACAGGTGCATTTCAGTGTGTAGAGTAGTGTAATATAAACATGATGCAAGCCGCATATGTAATTTTAAATGATCTAGGGGTTACTTTTAAGAAGTAAAAAGAGGCTGGGCGCAGTGGCTCACGCCTGTAATCCCAGCACTTTGGGAGGCCGAGGCAGGCAGATCATGAGGTCAGGAGTTTGAGACCAGCCTGAGCAACATGGTGAAACCCCGTCTCTACTACAAATACAAAAATTAGCCAGGTGCCGTGGTGCGTGCCTGTAATCCCAGCTACTCAGGAGGCTGAGGCAGGAGAATTGCTTGAACTTGGGAGGTGGAGGTTGCAGCAAGCCAAGATGACACCACTGCACCCCAGCCTGGGCAACAGAGTGAGGCTCCATCTCAAAAAAAAAAGAAGTAAAAAGAAACAGGTGACATTTATTTTAGTAAAACATTTTATTGAAGTCAATATATCTATATTACTATTTTAATATGTAATTAATATAAAAATTAGTAATGGGATATTTTACATTCAGAATAAATACTACAGCTGCAAAATTTGGTCTGGTTTTTACATTTTTTAGTATATTTCAAAGATGGAAAATCTAAAACACTTTAAAAAATCATTTTCAGAGTAGCTACTCTCTGTAGCCATTCAACTAGTGCTATGGTAGATAGACTGGAAACACAGCATGGAACAGTAGGTTATAGTGAATATTAAGAAATTTTGTCTTCATCTTTAAAGAAGTAACCTGGATATTCCCTATTACAAGCACTCAGTAGCCATACCTGGCTAATATTGGAGAGTGCAGGTGTATGGACAGTGCATGTGCATGAATGGTGTAGTTGTATAAACAGTGCATTGTGTGAATGGTGCAGGCGTATAGACAGTGCATGTTTTGAATGGCGCAGGTGTGTGGACAGTGCATGTGTGTGAATGGTATAGGTGTACAGACAGTGCATGTGTGTGAATGGTGCAGTTGTATGAGCAGTGCATGTATGTGAATGGTGCAGGTGTATAGACTGTGCATGTTTTGAGTGGTGCAGGTGTATAGATAGTGCTTTTGTGTGAATGGTGCAGGTGTATGGACATTGTAGGTGTGTGAACAGCACAGGTACATGGACAGTGTCAGTGTATGAATGGTGCAGGTGTATGAACAGTGCAGGTGTGTGGACAGTGTGTGTGTGTGTGTGAATAGTGCAGGTGTATGGATAGTATAGGTGTATGAATGGTGCAGGTGTATGAACAGTGCAGGGCAGGTATGTGAATGGTGCAGGTGTAATGCTTGGACGGAAGAGTCAACCCTTGGGAATCTATGGAATATCCATTCCCCTTGTGACCGCTCTCTCTGTTATAATTCCAGGATACATCAGAAATAGCTCAAAATAAAAACTGAATTTTAGGGACAGAAGTTGTCTGAAAGTTGCTCTTAAATCATAGCTAGAACATAAATGACTTATCACTTTGGATACCTGAGAAAGCTTTCATTAATTTTGGGCATGGACCTTCATGTTTTTAAAACTGGGGTTAATGAAATAGGCAATTTCATTTCAGGCAAAAGAAAGGAAAGGTTAAGAGAACAAAATTGCCCAAGATTTGGGTTATTAGAAGGTGAGACTTGAGAAGGTGACCTTTTAGCAATGACTATATTAGGTTTTTGGTTGTACAGAGTAATTGAGGAGCCAGAAAGGCCAGGAGCCAAATAGGCAGTGGAAAGGTGAAGCAGACAGATTTTACTTCCAGCTGCCCCACATCTGAACCTCTTTCCTATGGTGGTGCATTTTCCCACTGTGTGAGGTCAGGCAGAAAGCAGAGTCTGTCTTTCACCATAGAAGCCAAAAACCAGATGCTTCATTTGTCAGGCTCCTGTGCAGCTATGGCAAGAAGGGGCACAAGACATAGGCTTGACCTATCAGATGCCTGCGTCCAGCCTAGAAATGAGGAGCTAGTGATGCAAAGAAGCAGGCGGAGAGGACGCTGTTTTGGCAGTGGGGGTTGCACGGACTGAGCAGTATCAGCAGCACTGGTTTGTAGGAACAGCACTGGCAGTAGGGCAGTGGTGGCATCCCTGGGTCGAGAGCAGGAGGCTTTAGGACATGAAGCTGTGACATGGAGG